AAGAGCGTCTGCTTGTATGTTCTCAATCATATGTCATTTTACATTTTATTTGTTCAATTTAAATTTGGTATTTGCAACACTTGCTGAATATTTTCTTATGGAGGATTATGTGAGGAGATATAATATGATGGTAGAATTATCTTTTAGCATATCCTCTTGTGGATTATAGATAGCTGACTATCCGTATGCTGCTTCTCATGAGATTTTGTTTTAGTACGATGGCTCCATTAACTGTTAAATTCATATATATTTCAAAACCTCTCTAGTCTTTTGTGTTCTACTCCTATTTGCCCTTGGAAAGAGAACCGAATCCTTTAGAGCTAGCTATAAAGATTACCCAATCAAGATTTTATAAGATGAGGATGAGCTAGTTCGTATTATCAGAATAGAAAATTTGGTGATCCAGTGACCACTGGAAATTAATTAATCATCCAAATTGATATATAAAGCTTTAAAAATGAGAGGCAGGCTATTGGTAACTGGAATCTTATTGATGTTATTTGAGATAAAGAGTGTGATGACAAGACTCAGGGATTAGAATTAACTAAGGCGGCAACAGGGTGGGACGGTGAAATTAAATTTTTTATTATTTTATTTGTATCACTAACAATTATTGTCTACATTATCTAAAAGAGCCACTAAGGAAACAATTAAATTTAACAAATAAAAAACTATCTTTTAAGTTGTTCTCGCCTTTGTAAACATTATCTCATATTATATTCATCTCATTCAAAAGTTTAAATCCAAAAAATATTAAAACAACATAATAAGTTATTTAAGGGGGTATTTTGGCATTTTCTGTCTGTATCGAAGGGGGTGAACTTCTCGTTCATGCACATGCAAACATTCATGTAAACATTATTTTGATTTCATTCTTCATAGCACACATTATTTTTTTATGCGATACTTCACATTCATCTACTAATGAATAAATACATGTTTACTAAAATCAAAAGGGCATGCAAGTGCCTGATAACTTTATAGGTTAAACAATTATGCAACTGTTTATGCATGACTGTTAACATGCATGCTTCTCTACTTGAATCTAAAGATTGTTCAGTAACCTAATATATGTACGTTTACTATTAATGTCTTACAATAATCAACACATGCAGTCCTACTATAATTTAAATGTCATTCAATAATATAATAACTTAAAGGAAATTCATTGTTCATCCATCTAATGTATATATTTTCTTATCTAATAATATGAAAACTCTAGTATAATCTAAGCCTCACTGGAATAAAACGTAAATGAAATCAAGAATACATTTAAAATTGAATGAAAGTTGCTGAAATTTATAAATATAATTATTCACTTTAACCCTGTAAAGGCTTTCTTATAAGCTTAATCCTCCATTTTACTTCCTCTTTTGCAGAAATCATTATAAAGTCCTTTAACCACTTATCAAATTCATAATATTATATCCAACTTGATAATATATAATTAAATAAGTAAAATATCTTATATAAATAAAACAACAATTCCCTTACCTTATTAAAATTTGCTCGGATTGCTAGTTCATCTTACAAGATTTTCCAATAATGTTATCTGTTTTTAGTTCTTAAACTTTCGTATTAATATTATAAATTTTTTAATTAAAGCAATCTATAAAATTAAAAACTTAAAACTCGTGGAGAGTAAGTAGAAAAAAAAAACCTATATACGATCAAATTTGATCCCAATTTTTGCTATTAAGCATTCCAGGGAACTTTGAAGGGTCAAGAAAGCAGAAAACAAACAATTAAAGAGACAAATCAAAACTCTAAAATCTCTCACAGAATAACTCAGAAGACTATCAGACGCAAAATCACCCAAATTTCAAAAGTACGCTTATATGAATCCAAACGATAGCCATAAAGAGAAAGTAAGCTCACCCATACGGAGGCAATGAGAGAGAGCACCTCACATGTAGTGAGTGAGAAATATCAAAGATCAACACAAAGAAAACATCGTGCAAAGAAGAAATCAAAGAAATGGAATCATGATGCCCAATAAAGGTTTATCGTGGATATGATGTATCATATTCAAATTAACAGGTTGTAAAACTAATCACATCCCAACTGACTCCCTCTTAAGGGTTGGTTGTGGTGCAACAGAGGCTCATGATTCAATCAACCTAAATTCTAACCAGCACTTGTCCTAACTTATATAACAAATGAGTGATGAACTAGTCTAACTAGCTCGCCACAAGATGCCTGCTATATTTATTTCATAAATCATTCAAATTCACATATACTCGTAAACGTTAAAATCATATATATATATATATATTCTACTCACGATATATATGGTAATCGCTCTCGTCTTGCGAGGGTTCGCCTATGGCGTATCCTTGGTTTCTCTGATTCACTGCGATTTTGTCTTTCCCATCTTCGTCTTCGTCGTCTGTTCGCCGTCGCATTGCAGCGGCTCTCGCGTGAAGGTGTCGGGTTCGGGGGCGACATTTGAAGGACGTCTGGGCGCGGACTTCTTCTGCGGCTCGTTCTTTCGTCATCCCGAGAAGCGTGGGAGGGCTCACGTCTCATTCTTCGTGATCCCGAGAAGCGCTGGCTTCTTCTGCGGCTTCTATCCTCGCTCGCAGGGCGCAAGCTTTCCTCAAGCTTGAATGAATCGCCCACTGCTCACTTCTGCGGCTCGTTCTTTCGTCATCCCGAGAAGCGTGGGCTCTCTTTTATGGCTCACGGCTCATTCTTCGTGATCCCGAGAAGCGCTGGCTTTTTCTGCGGCTCCTATCCTCACTCGCAGGGCGCGAGTTTTCCTCAAGCTTGAATGAATCGCCCACTGCTCGACTTCCCTTTTGACATTTGCTCCTCCTCTATTGTCACTTTGCTGTCCCACAACCCCACCTCCTTCTTTTGGGATGACTTCGGACAGATCGTATGCTACTACCCTTGCGGGGGTTCACGCCTCAGGTACACCTAAATCACCATCTTTTCCTCCTTCATTTGAGTGGGCGGAGGACATCAAGAAGCTTGGTTGGAAAAATGAAAAGTCTGCCATATTTTTTACAGAAGACGATGGTATTAAACTTGCTTCATCTTGTCGTCTGAATTTGGTTGGGAAATTTTTATATGGTCATCCCAAAATGTAGCTCATTCGCAAAGAATTTGAACATATGCATCTTGTTGGAGAGTGAAAAATTGGATTATTAGATGTGAGACACACTCATATTCAAATTAATAATGAAGAATATTACATGCGCTTATTTGCTAGAAGGATAATCTGAATTGATAACAGAGCAATGGAAATTCTGAAATGGTCTGTGGATTTTGAAAGCAATGGAGATTCTGAAATGGTCTGTGGATTTTGAACCATAGACAGAACAACCAATCATTCCGATTTGGATTCGTTTTCCTGGTTCGAAATTTCATTATTTTTCTCAAAAAGTATTGTACGCTATTGCTTTAGCTTATGGAAAGCCACTCAAGATGAACATTCCTACTTTAAATCTTTCTCGTCTATCTGAAGCCAGAGTACTTGTTGAAAGAGACATCACTTGACCCGCTTATGAGGAAATCTGGTTGGGCACACAACACCATGGATATTGGCAGAAGATAGAGATTGAGCTTTATCCGTCGTATTGTTCTAACTGTTGTATGTTTGGCCACTCAAATTCTCAATGTCACCATCTATACCCCCACCTCAGACCAAAAAAACAAAGTGTTCCGCTAGAAGCTGTGATTCCATCTCATTCCGATCAACACCAAGTTTTTGACACTATTGATCATCAGAAGGATATCCAAGAAGACATCAATATCCCCGTAGGCAATATAACAACCATTCAGTCCCCTGTTGTAGCTCCCCAGTCTTTGGAACCTCCTATCGAAGGGGAGAGGGAGATTCTTTAGACTCCGCAACCCCCCCCTGTCATAGAACCTATCGCCGATAATACAGGTAGAAATACTTTTACTGCTTCACCACCGCCTCATCAGGTTTAGAAAGATGATAATGTTACTCAAGCTCATGAGGATCATGATGTGCAACGACTTACACCTGTCCGACCACCTTTGGAATCTACTGATCAGATGAGTCAACCATTGGATGAGGAATGACAGTTCTACACATCCAGGAGGAAGAAGAAGAATAGAGATCTACTCGAGCTCAGGAATCTGATGGATGATACTTTGGTTACTACGGGTAATGGTACTCATCTTACAAATTTGTTAACCGGCTCAATTCCGAGAACTCATGTATCTTTGCTTTATTTGGGTTTTGTGTATGTTGTATTGTATGAGTTAGACTTTTTTTTAGACTCTCTCATACAACATCTCTGTATCTTTTCCGTATTAATATATTTGCCCTTGGGCTTTTTCAAAAAAAAAAGAAAAATTCTACTCACGATATGAAAATCATGATGTCAGCTGTGGTCGAGAGCTTTGCTAGGGTTTCCAATGGCAATTTTCGTCACATTTAATTTTATCGCTCGAAGGAGAGGGCTCACATCTCGCCTTTGTTTTGTTGACTCTCGCTCCTCTTCCTCTGCTTCTTCCGAAGTTACTGCGTCTCTTAGATGCGGACGACTCGCGTCTGCATCTGTTGCGTCTCACTTGATTTTGATGCCTACAACTTCGCACGTCCGCGTCGTTCTTCTTTTTCAATGCTAACGTTCTTATTTTTTTTACTTAGAAATTTCAACACTAGCTGAAAAATTCATATTTGCTCTTATTGAAAAATTGTAGTGGGGGCACCCACCTATGAAAGTTATCAGAAAGAGCGTTGATCTCAAAC